TCCCAGCTATAATTTTTTTCCATATGCATGTTTTTGGATGACTATCCTTTAACATTATGCTTTAAAAAAAAAAAAAAAGATGAAGACTGATATAATTAGAAAGATAATTGGAAAAGATTTTCAAATTAATCTAGGTGTCATCTGCATTGAAATGTCTCTGGATCCTTTTCCTTGGCTCATTAATGAAGTCGTTTACCCTTGAACGTTGGAATCCTGCTAACAAGTCCAGCTGTTTGTTGGATTCCTTCCCATCAATGGCACATTAATCATTAAAAAAATACACTAGTAGGTAATATATAAACTTTTTCTCTTGGCTTTTGGTTACTTGAATTTCTTTTTTCCCACGTTGGACAATTTATCACTTTTTTAACTTGCTTATTTCACCTGCCGAGCTGCTTTTTCTACATCTACGTAACTATAGTTGAAGTTTAGACACTTAAAACTTCCAGATTTTTCCTCTGAAAGAATTGAAGTTACTATTGGAAGATTTTGATAAAGTTTTGCCTTAAATGTTGAGGCATTCAGATGTCCCCTGAAGCACCAATTTCTCCCCAGTTGAGAACCACTGGTTGAGAGAATCAAATAATTTCATTAGTTCTCTTAGAATGGTTACATTCCTAGTAACTTCTCTAAATTTTCACCTTGTTTTTTCTCCCAACTGAAGCATTTTTTTTTTAATTTGCCATGATTGTTAACCTGTCTTATTTTGTCTATACAGGTATGTTTATATGTATTTATGGTTTTTTTTTTTTATTAACTTTACACATGAATATACTTCAAGGCAGGGTTTCTCAAATTCAGCCCTATTGACATTTTGGGCTGGATAACTCTTTGTTGTGAGGGGCTGTCCTGTGCATTGTACCATATTTAGTAGCATCCCTCGCCTTCACCTACTATACGCCAGCAACAACCACCATTGTCTCCCTCCCCCTTATGACAGACAAAAATGTCTCCAGAGATTGTCAGATGTCCCCTGAAGCACAAAGTTCTCCCCAGTTGAGAACCACTGGTTGAGAGAATCAAATAATTTCATAAGATTTTTAAGGAAAAAATGGTAATTCCTCTGTCCCTCATCTCTTCTCTCCTATTTTCCAGATTGTCTTTTTGCTCTACTTTCTGGGAGATTTCTTTGAATTTATCTCTTCTTATATTTTAATTCTCAAGAGCTCATTTTTATTTGAATATTCCTTTTTTATACTATCCTGTTCTTGTTTCATAGCTGAAATATCTTCTCATATTTCTCTTGAAGATACAAATTAGTATTTTTTAAGTCTTCTTTGCCCAAATAGGCTGTGTCCTGCCATTTGTTTTTTTGTTTGTTTGTTTTTGTTTTTCTCTGTATTTCTCACATGTTTGGAGAATGGGATCTCTCTTTCTATTTAAGAATTGAGGACAAACACACTGATTAGAAGCCACAAGTATGTGAGGCTAGTCAATTACGAGTTTCACTAAAGAGTGATCTGGCTGAGTTCTTTACTTAGCAAACTTCTGATATCAGCATCTTTAGGACTTTCTTCTGTGTCTAGTCAGATATCCTCACATCCATTTCACATACCTTCATTTGATCTCTCTGTTCTCAGAATGGTACTACTGGTCTTCAACTCTTTCTGGAGATCCCTGGTGTAGACACCTTGGTTTTACTTCTGTCTGGTGTTGAGGTGGAAAAAGAGACATTCATCCAACTATAGAGAATGAGGAGGAAATTTTGTGGATTCCTAAAATGATTTTCAACAAATCCTCCTTATTTAGTCTCTCCCCTTCACCTCTACTTCTAGAGGTACCTAGTGATGACAATTCCCGAGCCTTCTGGGAATGTGTTGTAAAAATATGCATTCTTGGCTTTCCCTGCTGCTGGCTTAGGATTCAGCTTTTTCAGACCTGCTAAGTCAGTCAATACTTATACACCTGCTTTGCAGCCTCCAAAGTTCTATGGCTATTGTTTCCTTTCTCATTCTTCTCAAGTATGTCATGGTTTTTTTGTTGTTGTTGTTATTTTTATTTTTATGCCTTTTAAAAAAATCCACTTAGTAAGACATTGGGAGGGCTTAAAAGTAAATGCTTAATCTGCCATTTTTCCTGTGGGAGGTTAATCTGAATCCTCTAAATAAAACATGATCAGTAAATTTTTGTTGTCACTCAACCCAGCATACTGTGAATATCATTGGAATACCCAAAGGATATAGTAATTGTTTGCTGTTCCATAGGGAACGCTTTTTCAAACTAAGGTGATTTTAGACAACTTCATTTTTTATTCCCAGGAAGGTTATAAATCCTGTGACATTTTGGATGAACAAGGGAATATTGTCCTAATTTTTAAGCCAAATTCTAGCTTTCCTTATAATAAATTATGTTGTTTAATGCACATGGAAGAATTCCTGGCATACAGTAAGTTTCGACAACTATTACTTTTATGACTGCTCCTATTATCCATTTTACTAAAAATAGTTCCATCCAACTGTTGAATGTTTTCTTATTGTTTCACAGGTTTGTGTATTTAAAATTTGTTTTTTTCTGAGTTTTTGTTCAGTTGTTTTTACTTTAGTCACTTATTAAATTTAGATAAATTTAGCTAAAAATTCATTTAGATAAAAATTTCTCCCTTGACCTATCAATTTCAGTTCTAGCAATCTTCTTTAAGGAAAATATCAAAAGTGCACATATAACTTTATAGTGACATTGCTTATTATAAAAACAGCAAATTTAAATGTCAGTAGAGAGGAACTGATTTAAAAAATGATGGTATAGCCAGATGATAGAATAGTATGCAGCCAGGAAAAGTGATTTTGCAAAAGAATATTTAGTGACATGAAAATGTCCAAAGATATATATTTAGTTTAGAAAGCAACAGGAAAAAAAGTATAAAATTATATTTAAAAATATGTAGATTAATACCAAAAGAATAAATAAAAGACAAGAAGAAAATACATCAAGAAGTTAGCAAGCAGTATTTAGGGGAGAAAGGATTGCTGAGGATTTTTTTCCTTCTTTGCACTCTTTGGAAATGTCTCAATTTTCTAAAATGAAAGTGTATTTCCCTTGAAATTTAAAATACCCAAGCCCACAAACACATATATATGTATAAACATAGTTTTAAAGTAAATAAATTCTGCTTCAAGATTTCCACTGGGCTTCCAGGAGAACCGGGATCCCCTGGGGAGCTGGGACCTCCTGGACGCAAGGTAAGTTGCAAAGCCATAAATAACACCAGTTCCTTTCCAAATAAAAAGTCATTGCATGGGATTTTCATTGTCCAAATGTGCATGTTTTCTGTCTTTGCAACTTGGCAATTATTTTCCACCTTTATGTGCTCAGAAAGAAGAAAAATATGCCAATTAAATATCAGTTGCCATTTCCTAGGAAGTAGGGGGAATTAAGGGACAAAATGAATAGTATTAGACTAAAATGAGATTTCTCAATTATCAGTGAATTTTATTTATCCGTTCAGTCTTTGTCCTCTTATATTCATTAAATGATCAGTGAATGGAGGAAATTAGGAAATAATGAATAAATGATCAAAGTTTCATTCACCTGGAACGTATTTTCTTCAGGAATTTGGGTGGACTCCATTGCATTTTTCCTCGAGTGTCTCTCTTAGTCAGACTCTTCCTGTTTCAAAGATGGGATTGAACACATGAAATTAAAAACAATTTTACTTTGTTCTTTCTATCCCCAACCCAGACAGATTTGTATGTATATACATAAAAATAAAAGTATATTTACTTATGGGAGACAATTAGGATTACCTTTCCAGATGTTTGGGCTGAATCTGGTCCCTTTGTCGTCGAGACAATGACGGGAACAGATTAAGGTTCAGCTCAGCTGCTGCTCAGTGGTCAAGGCAAAGCATGGGGTTGAGAAACTACCAACCTCTGCCTTCAGGAGGGGCAGCCACAGTGGATGGTTCAGCCTCACCTAGTTCTTAGCCGTAGTTCTGTTCCAAATCTCTCCATGCCAGTGTCAAGTTGTCAGCTCCATCCTTAGATTCTGAACAACCCTTGTCATCTAGACAGGCTGAAGGAAAGCAGCCTTTGAAGGTTTGTGTTCATCAAGGCTGCTGCTTATAGATTATTCTCCTTAGAATGTTATTGTTAATTAGGTGATGGATAGCTACATGTATTCGTTTTCCCTTTAACTTAAGAATAAAAACTTTAAAAGTTATCACTTTCTTAGGGTAATGTTGGTGCACATTCTGGCTACTGATGTGGGTGTCTAGAGCAGTGAAACCACATTTTTTTTTGTCTGTTTCTCTAGGGTGTGAAAGGGGCCAACGGATTGGCTTCATTTTCTGTATGTATCTTCTGACTCCAACAGAGAGCTCTGAGCACTCCATTAAATTTATTGATTTTTAAACTTCAGGACCTGGCAGTCTGTTACCTAATTCTTTCTATTTTATTTTTGAACCGTAGACATGTGAGCTCATTCAGTATGTACGGGATCATAGTCGTAAGTACCCTGCTTAAAATGATCACTGAAGTTGTCGGCATTCATAGAAGAAAAGCAGTGATTTCTGCACTCAAAATTGAGACAATTTACCAGCCAATTTCTTAAAATTAGAGATCTCACTGCATATATTTTGAGTCAGCATAGACTGGTGTCTATTAACTAACTCCCTCTCTGGCTGCCAGCACATCTATTGGAACCTGTTCCAAGTACTAAGTAATAATATATCTAGTGCTTTTAATCTAGGAAAAATTGAGATATGAGGTCAGAACTCTCCTGATGGTGAAATCAGTGGACATTCACAATGAATTCTTTAAAATGATTAGCACCTGACCCTAACTGAAGGATCGAATTCACCTGGTGTGGAAGAGAGCTGTGATAATAGAGCATCTGGTGGGTGGGAGTCCTGATTTTAGTTTATAGATTCTTACTCCTTTCCTGGAAAGTTATGCCTGCTTGCTTTTAGTTGAACTAATTAATTTGCTTGTAAACTTACTCATTCTGCCAATATTTTTTCCTGTAAAGTTTTAAAAGCAAAAAGGCATGTTTATTTGACAAATGCTCTTTTGAATTAGCTTTAAGACCCTTATAGTAGCCTCTTCTATCAAAATAGGTGTCAGCACCATGAAAGGAATTCCATGTACAAGATGAGGAAAGCGTCAACTAATGATCATCTACTAACACATAATGACTTTCCAAATAAACAGGATGACTGAAGGGAAGAGTCAAAAGTTCCCTCAGGACATTTGGGGGAAGAAAAATAGACAAATTAGGGCCCATTTCTGTAGTGAGCATTGGTGTCAAAGAGACTTTTAAAAGCTTTGAACGCAGGGTCGATCTTAACTCTGATTTTGTGTAGTGGAATGGAATCACCCATGGGAATCATATCTATTGCTCATGAAGAATGGATGCTTTGGGAATGAATTAGCACAATAAGCTTTCTAACATGGGATCCATGTGAATATAATAACTCAAGGGTAGATCCAAGTGTGGTGACTCCTGATCTTTTAAAATTTGAGGGACTCGATATAAAATTATAAATCCAAATTAGGTACAAAATTATTTCAAAAATGTTATTTAGAACAAGAAAGGAAATAATAACCAATGACTTCTGCAGATTTTAAAAGCACATGTTCATGTAAACACACGGCTAGGGACCCTCCCTAGGCCTTGTAAGGAACCCCTGCAGGTGAGAGGTCGAAAGCAGTGCTGTCCAGCAGAACTTTCTACAGCGAAGGAAGTGCTCCAGTGCAGTGACCAAATGGTAGCCTATCCTCATGTGACTTTGAGTACTCGAGATGTGGTTAGTGTAAATGTGAAGCTGAATTTTTTATTTCATTTAATTTTAATTAAAATTTAAAGTCACATGTGGCTAGTGGCTTCCAATTAAACAGTGCAGACCTAAAACTTAAGCTTCATGTGCTTCAGAGTAAATTTGTTTTTATATATACACACTCATACACACACACACACACACACACACACACATACACACATATATGTAAAATTAATAGCTCTAGGTATCTGCATGGGGAAAATTTAGAGTAAAAAGAGATTGTACACACACACACATACATATACACACATATATGTAATATTAATAGCTCTAGGTATCTATATAGGGAAAATTTAGAGTAAAAAGAGATTAGGACCTTTTAACTGTTCAAATTCAGTGCACCTCTGCAACGTAATATTCCCTCCCAGGCTAAAGTTCCCTCTGACAGCTGGCGCAGGCTGCTGATTTATGGCTGCATATTGTCCCACTTCTCCATTTCCACTCCCTACGGAAGGAGCAATGCTTCTACCAAGATGCTAGGATTCATCTGCATTTTCTCCAAACCCTATCTGTTGCTTTGATCTTTGAGTCATCCACAAAAAGCACACAGTGCAAAATCTCGGCTGCCAATATTTTCCTACACAGTACAGAATGCTGTTCTACCAAATAATAACTCAATCTCCTTTGTTCTTCTTCCCCAGCTGGCGGACATGGTGAGTAACCTTTATTTACAACATATTATAATCAGGCTCCAAAATGTCATACATCTGAAAAGATGAGTTAGAATAATGTATTGCCTGCCAAATGATATAAATTTTACCTGGGTTGTCTTTGCTGCTTTGTACTGGTAGCATGGACTTGCCTCCAATAAATCACTCAGTTTTAGCTCAGTCTCACAGCTAATTCTCAACCAACTGGTTTGATTTCTTTAATTATTATTTTAATGGCTAACATTACCATATACCTTGCTGTTAGTTTTTTTGTTATAATATGCCCCTCGCCTTCATTTTCTCTATTTGTCATATTGTTTTTATAGTTTCATAGAAAGGAATTAAGATGTAGAGGGGGAAATGTGGAAGATAAAAGTAGAGATGATCAGATAGCAAGTAAGCTGAATGTGCAGCTCACATAATGCTAAAATCCATGGACCTCATGCCTGATGGTAATTAACAAGATGGTTTAATATATTTCAGTGATAATTTTTAAGTCTTACAAATGCCTATTACTTGATATTTTTCTATAAACCCATCATCTCCCTCTTACACCTTTATACCCTTATACCTTTTGTGTAAAACCACTAATCCGTATCCACTGATTGCTTGTTCACTGATTCAACAAATATTTATTGAAAGCCTGTTACGTACCAGTCTGCCCCAGGCACTAGGGACTAAGGGCTGAATAAGATGGACGTGATGGACGTGATTCCTGTCTTCAGTAGCCTCCATTCAAGTAGGGGATCCAGATAATAAACAAATGAAAAAATTACAGATTCCTATAGCTGCTCTGTCACAGACTTATGTTAGGGGAAGGAAGAAATACTTTTGGATGGAGGGCACTTCTTTGAGGCAATGACTTTGAAATTTGGACTGAAGAATAAAAAGAAGCCATCTTTTGCAAGAGCCAGGAAGAAAGAAGTGCAGGTGCAAAGGTCATGAGACAAGACAGACATAGGCATTTTCTAGAAACTGGTGGAAACCCTGTATGACTGAGAAACAGTGAGGGAGGGTGGTTTGGCATGTGAAAAAAATGGAGAAGTAAGCAAGGGGCAGATCAAACAAGGCTTTGCTGGTTATAATAAAGCAGCTGGGCTTTATTCGAATTGTAATGGGAGAGTATTAAAGAGTTTATTGAAAGTATAAAGGGAGGAGCATGAGCTGATGCATAATATTTTGAAGCTGACTTGGGTCAGTATGAGAGAGTGGATTGTAGGAGGGATAAGCGTCAAAGCCAGAGGTTGAGTTAGGAGGATGTTGTGATATTTCAGACAAAGATGATGGTGGCCTGGATGACGGCCACCACTGCTGTGCGTGAGTTGCACAGCAGTGATTTGGTTAGCCTTCTTCTGTCTTCATCGTCACTTTGCTGAACCATCCGTATACAATTTGTGGCCACAGAGTCTGTGTGTCGTCAATCCATGCCTTGAGGAGGAGCTCTTAGATGCCACCGCAGTCCATTCTTCAGAATCTTTAGGTCCTTGGCAGCTTGCTGGATTTCAGAGAATATATCTGGCAAGTTGAATAAACCCTTTGGTGTTTTTCCTGAATACTTAATTTTTTTATATCTAGCCAGCTCTGTGAATTTTTTTTTCCCTTTATCTCTAAATTATACTTGAAGCTGCATTGTTATTATTGTTGTGTTTGTTTCCGTATACAAGCAACAGCTTAAACAAAAAGCTGGCAGAACCACTTTTATGTTTGGTCCTAATTCTACTCATTTTTTATTGTAAAACTGATTTTTTAAAAATCTGCTCAGCCCACTAAATTAGACTCAGAGGCTAATAAATTCTGTCCTGTCTCCACTGAGATATAGTTTAATTTTGGGGTGAATGTTTATTATTTCTGGTCCTTTTGCCTGTGAAGGTCAAGGAGTCCAGGACCAGAAGGAGATAATAATCTAGCTCAAGGGGGGCGAGGCCCAGCTGTCCACGGCTGGGGACTCGCACCTTGGCCAGCCTGGGCACGCCGCAGCAGGCATGAGTTCCTAACCCTATGTGTCTCTGAATCTGACTTGCTGGCACCTGAAGGAGAGGAGGCGCCCCACCCCCAAGAGAAGCACATTGAGATTTTCTTTTACCAACCTACGTCTCAACACTAGGCATCTACCCTCTACCCTATTATTAACATGTTTTTGTTCTTCCTGTACTTGTTAAAAACTGTCCTGTGTTTGGTTCTTTTTAAATCAGTCAATATTCATTAGGTCTCTGATATATGGCAGGGACTAATAATTTGACAGATCAAGAGAGACACAATCCCTGTCTCCACACTTCTCAATTAGAGGGAGAGGAAAATATTAATCAGATCATCAGACAAATAGAAATTGCCAACTGTGATAAGTGCAGGGCACTGGGAATAGAGTGAATAAATTGGGCTCAGTGAGTATATCTGAAGTTAACACTTTTATTCAAGTTTAACAATCATAATTCAAAGCTCCTCTAATCAATAAGGCATATTTATTGGTTATACTTGCATTTTAAAATAAAGTTCTCACAGTGAAAAAGTCTATAATAATAATGGCTAATATTAATTAAGCATCTAGTATGTGCCAGCCACTGTTATCTTACGTGCTTTACCTGTGTCGATTCTTTTAATCTGCAACACAGGCCAATGCAGTAGGTAATACTGGGACCGACATTTTGCAGATGGGCAAACTGAGGCTTAGAGAGCATAAGTCATTTGGTTAAGGTCACGTGGCTAGTAGGTAGTTGGGCCAGGTTTCTCATTACTTCCCTGTAGTGCCTGCTGTCTCTGCATCGAATCATCCACCTTGCGGATGTCAGTTCTCTTCCAATCTTTCTGAAACTGTCAACAGAGCTTTCACGCCCGTTCCTTTTTAACCCGTTTCCTCATTAAGTAAAAAATGTTTTCGTTTATTTGAGTAAAGTTCCAGCAACAGAGATGATGTCATCGATCCAATCTCTGTAGGTTAAAGGAGGGGCATATCCATGAGCTCTTTATTTAGAATTTGGTAATTAACTTCCAAATTTTATTAAAGCTCGAATTATAGACCTTTTCTGGTGCTTTAAAAGAACAAATTCAGTTTTTACAATAGCATTTTTAATTATTCAAGATTTAAATACATAATATTTCAAGTGCTTATTTTAATATTTAAATACATAATAATTATTTAATATTTAAATATGTGAATATTTAACATTTGAAATTATTTCGCCTTCTCTGCATTTTTTTTTAAACGCTACATGATAAGGACCATGTTCTTGCCTTTTAGGAAAACCCGAATGTCCTGTGCATCCAACCGAGCTGGTGTTCGCCTTGGACCAGTCCCGGGATGTGACGGAGCAGCAGTTTGAGCAGATGAAGGAGATGATGTCTTCCCTCGTGAATGGCGTTAGAGTCCGGGAGAACAGCTGCCCGGTGGGAGCGCGCATCGCCATCCTTTCCTACAGCTCCCACGCCAGACACCTCATCCGCTTCTCAGACACCTACAAGAAGAACCGACTCCTCAGGGAAATTGAAGCTATTCCTTACCAGAGATCCACTGACGACAGGGAGATCGGCAAAGTAATGAGGTTCATTTCCAGGAATGTCTTCAAGCGAACTTTTCCAGGGGCTCACACAAGAAGAATCGCCACATTTTTCAGCAATGGTCAATCTGCCGATGCCCAGTCCATTGCCACGGCCACCATGGAGTTCAGTGCCCTTGACATCATTCCTGTAGTGATTGCTTTCAGCAATGTGCCCTCCATCAAGCGTGCATTTGCGGTAAGAAGCTTATGCTTTTCACGTGACTTTTTTTTGGGGGGGAGCAGAGTTTGGGGGGTGGATTTACTCAGAAGCCTCTATAAGAAAGTACAGAATTATACTATATATTACTATGTGCCAGAAAATACCTTTATATGCATTGTCCTGCTTCATTCTAACAAGTACTGTGTATGAGATATAGATATAATTGTTATTCTCATTGTATTGATGAGAAAACTGAGCCTGGAGATTTAACCTGTATGCCCAGGGTCATGCAACTAAGAAGTGGAAATGTCAGGACTTGAACCCAGGTTTGCTATTCTAGTGCTTTGGCAAGAGACTCTCTGAGTTGCTTCTCAGTTTGTAAAGACCCTAAACCAGGAAGAACAGTAAACATTCCTGAATGTCACGTGTATAGCCAGAGTAATAATTATTGGTTCAAGATGAAAACCAGTTGACTGATTTTATAACTTCACCAACCATGTTAACTATTTTATAAAGGAAAAGCCATTCTAGTTATAGCTTCTTAGGTTAAGGATTAAAATCTTACCTTGTAGCATTTCTAAATAAACCAACTGGGATCAAGACAACCTTTTTTTTTTTAATTGAAGTATAATTGACATGTAACATTAGTTTCGGGTGTACGACATAATGGTTCAATATTTGTATATGTTGTGAGATGATCACCACAATAAGTCTAGTTAACATCCGTCACCTTACATTGTTACAAAAAAACCTTTTCTCTCACTATCTTAGCAACTTTCAGATATGCAGTATAGTAGTAACTATAGTCACCATGCTGTACATGACATCCCCATTTATTGTATAACTGGAAATTTGTGCCTTTGACCCCCTTTACCCATTTCACCCATCTCCCCACCTCTGGCCACCACCAATCTGTTCTCTGTATGAGTTCGGGTTTTGTTTTTTGTTTTTAGATTCCACATATAAGTAAGATCTTATGGCATTTGTCTTTCTCTCTAACTTAGCATAATGCCCTCAAGTTCCATTTATGATGTCTCAAATGGCAAGATTTCATTCTTTTTTTATGGCTGAATAATATTCCACTGTGTTTATATGTGTTTATATATGTAGATTATATATATACATATATATATATCAGACTCAGGAAAGAAAATAAACGTAAATTAGAAACGACTGGGGCCAGGCTTTGCAAATGCAGTTGCTACGAGATACAACAGCTCCAAATTCTGTAAGTGGATTTGGTTACACAGAGTCCTCTTAATTCCCTCTGTTTATTGTCACTTGGCTTTATTTAGTCACAAAACGAGATAATATCCTAATGCAAATAAATAATCGATGGTATTTGTGATATAAACTTAAACTGACACAGTTCCTCCACTCAGTCAAAGATAAATGCACAGTGCAAACCTTAAGAAAACATATTTTTTGTTTATTTTAAACCTTTTGAATGTTAACAATCTCACTTAGAGATTCTACCCAAACCACCTAGAGACGCTTTGCTCCTTTCTCAAAGGAGTTCATCTCAAAAGGGCACAAATGAAGCTTCGAATTTTTAACAAAGACCCTCATTTATCTGAGCAGAATTGGCTCCAAACACCCTTTGGGCAGAAGAAGAGTTATAGATGACTTGGACAGAAGCCAGAATTGGTCAGTCATCCTACAAGTGTTTAGTGAGCACCTCATGTATACGAGGTGCTCTCCTAGGTTCTACAGATACAAAACTAAAGTGGGAAATCAAGAGATCCACCCTCATGGAGCTGCCATTAGAGGATGGAACTAATTGGGGTTGTCTACAAGGGCTAAAAATAGAGGCCTATACAGAAATTGGTGAGAATCCCATACCTGGCATTCCAGATGAGAAATTATATTACTACTTCTCCATTTCTCTTCTTTTTCTTTCTTCTGTCCATTCTCTTAAATTGTGCTAACCTCCTTCTTAACTGTGGTTTATTTTAATAGAATTCAAAAATTTATTGACACAATGAATCTTTATTTGGGGGCCATATTTTAAAACCCCTGTTTGTTTCAGAATTACCATGACTTCTCTATTCATCTGAGAGTTCAGTAGTCAGTGTGAAATTTGAGACCTGTGCAGACATACGGCAGGACTCAGAAGCAGCTGCTCTGACAACATGGTCTGATTTCCCTATGTTCCTTAGCAAATGGACTTGTGATCACCAGCTTGGAAATTTTTCATGATGATATGAAGCTGAGCGACCAGCTGTTCGTTCTTTCTGAAATGGAAGGCCATTTTGGACTGGAAAAACCTCAGTCTCAGCTTTGTTTGGTCACTAGTTTTCCCCTCTAAATTTCTTTGCAACCATCTCTTCTGGCAAAATTACATTTGTTGTACATTAAGAATTCTGAAATAGAGTGGGTACCCCTTTCTAAAATACTTATATGTCTCCTTTTTAGCTAGCTTAATTTTTTCTTTTACTCTGCTCTTTAGCACTGCAGATGAGAGAAACATTAAATGTAATATTTGACATTACTGATTATTCTCGTGATTGGAGATAGAACTGAAATGGATAGGGTAGGATTTTTAATGGGAAACGAGCACTTTGAGCACTCAGCCTTTTTATTTTTTATATTTCTTTGTTAATATAGAGTTGTCTAAAGAAGTAAGGTTACACTTAACAGTAATTGTATCTTTCCTTGAATGCAACCATTTATGGAGTCTCATGATGTTTAGAAAAGACAGAACAGGGTATCATCCAAAACCATTTACTGAATTCAGCCTCATTTCACCCTTCTGTAGACTTTATAGCTGTACTTTCATCCAAGCTGGTACTTCTTGGAATCTACAGAAAAGTGAGAAACAAGAAAAGTGAACCATAGGACTCTTGTAAATCCCCAATCCACATACAGCTTAAGAAATTTTCTGTAACAGACGCTCACTGTAGTTGCTCCAATGATATGTGCCATATCTGCCAAGCTTTATTTTTGAGGAGATTACTTAGTAGTGGGGCAGGGGGGACCAGGGGTCAGGGAGAACAGACCCCTTGTGGACCCTCCCTGTAGAGCAGCACACTAGAATCAATGAGAAGGATGATGTTTAGGTTGACACTAATGTGCTGACATGCGATTAAATGTCCCCATTTGTGTCACCACTGCCGCATCGCCCCTCCATTGCCCTACCATCACAGGGTCTTCCCTTTCTCTTCTCTCATACCACACAATGTTCACTTTTATTTCTCCCTGTCAGTCTCTCCCAAGCACTACATATTCCTTTCTCTGTTATATTTGTACATGGAAATTTAGCTAAAAGCTTCAGTTACCACACATTCTCTCTCAGTTCCCGCCCTGTAACCCAGACGGCTTAGGAAGGCAAACACAGTGGTCTCCCAGGGAGGAATTCTATGAGCACAGATTGCTGCATCTCTTATACATGGAACGAAAGATGAACAGCAACATAAAAAAGCCTGGGGGGCGGGGGAATTGAGGGGGGTCCTTCCCATTTCTTTTGCTACTCAGCCCACAAGAAGGCGGTCAGCCTACAGCTCTGTTGGTGCTTACCACGAGCATGGAGAGACTTTCTGCCTTCAGGACCCCAGGTCCAAATTCCTGAATCAGTGTGATTGGCTCAGATGTCCATCCTGGTGCAATCTACTCTGCTAAGAAAGAGGGATTCATCTCATATAAATACAACTGCCAAAGATCTCCTCCCTCCCTTCATAAAGTATTAGAGGGAAACTTTTCCAAGAAAGAGGGGAGTCAGCCAGGAGGATTCACAGGGAAACTAAGTGTCGTTCGTCTGTCCCATCTCTTAGGCATTAGATAGGATCACACCTACAATTTTCCTTCAACTATCAATGATCTCTAAGTCGGTTGACTGACAAGCTAATTATTCTTCATTATCTGGAGCCTCCTTCTCTTCTCCCTGCTCTCCAGCCTCAGACTCCCCAGGTAGGTTACTAACAATGGGCCCAAACTAAAAATGGTTGGGAGTTGTTCAGAAGAGAGCTGCCTGGATATGGATCTGGGCGTGCATTGCAAAGCCAGCTTCAATGCTCGGTTCATCACGGAGACTCAAAGATATTTGTGAAGCACAGTCTTGTGACTTTTTTTGGTCCTCTGGGACCTGGGGCAGGGCAGGAGGGTGTCTCTAATCCTCCTGCTTAAATGGCATTTGATCAGTCCTTTTGTTCACAAATGCAAAGGGTTCGATGCTTGGGGTGTTCTATTCAAGAACAAGACAAAGCCATCATTGGGTAGTTTTATTTACCTGTAGCAAGTAAAGGAGACGGGATTCGCATTCAAAGCTCTGTCTCCCCCAAGAAAGGCTTAGCCATTGCTTATATACACTATTTGGTTAATCACATGTTGATTTCTTCTTTGCAGGGGACTAAACTTATCTGGATGGGTTCCAGTCAAGCTCACTCTGTTAAAGCTGTGTCTGTAAAATACTGTGCTACATTTTAACATTTAGTGAGAATAACATTTAGTAAGAATGCCCAGACCTTGAGACCCTTGTCTATCTAACATTTAACCTTTCTTTGAGCTTCAGTTTCGTCATCCATAAAATGTGGATGATAAACATAAGAAAAAATGCACTGAGTTGTTGAGATAATGGATAGGAAAGTGCTCTGTGGTCTCCAATGACCCACGTGGCACCCACCCTGTGCCAGTAAGTGCTTTTCGGTTATGAACTCATTTAATGTTCACAGCAGCCCTGTTAAGTAGTAGTATGATTATTCCATTTTACAGGTGAGGAAACAATCAAAGTAACTTGTCATACAGCTAAAGGGAGCATTGGGACTTAAACCCAGGCAGTGGTCTCAGCCACCCTGACATGCTGTGCCTTCTCGTGACTGTCTTAGAAGAAGCGGTGTTGTTCTCTCCACATATTAGCTCTCTGAACAATCCTGGAAAGTTCTTGCAGCTCCACCCACTAAGCTGTTTTTCCTCTTGTTTCTGCTTCTTACAGATCGACAACACTGGTACATTCCAAGTAATAATGGTTCCATCCAGGGCCAACTACTCGTCAGCATTAGAGAGACTCCAGAGGTGCACTTTCTGCTATGGTAAGACCCACAGAGAGAACATAATTTGATCAGGCCTGTTAAACACATTGAGTCACCATTGGCAGGAGCAGCTAGAACTTGGCATCAAGAGATGAGTGGCCTTGGGAGAATTTTGCTGGAGTTCCAGGCTCACCTCATCACACTGCATTGTCCGTGGATGGAGCCTCATGGTTCAGCAAGCAGGGTCTCTTCCTAGGTATCACAGCAAGAGGCTTACACTCCAGGCTTCTCTGCTTCATGCAACTTCCAGGAAACACTAATGATTTTTAGAAAAATTTAGCCTGTCTCATTGCCAAGTTTTTCATGCCATGAAGTATATTTATGTGTTTTCTAAATCTCAAATGTTCACAACCCCCAAAGAAATGTTTTTCAGTAGAAGTGGAAATTAGCTGAAATTTGTGCATTTCTCATTGAAAAGACCCTTCACAGACTCCCAAATGTTAAGCATCAAAAAGATTTGCAGTGTTTGTTTTTGTGTCATGTTTCATATACAGAGAACTGGCTAGACTTGTATTTGAGTATTCTAATAAGTTGAATGTTCTAATAATAATGAAGAGAGTGAAAGCCACTGAGATTACCGGTGGATGTGAGAGCTCACAGTTATCAAACATTTATTAGAAACCGTACATGTTCTAATTGCTTTACATAGCTCTGATGATGCTTATTGTGTTCCAAACATTCTCCTAATTGTTTCATTCAATCCTTATAATCACCTTAAAATGTTTGAACTATTATTAGCTCCATTTTACAGATGAGGAAAATTAGATGAAACAATTTGCTCCGGGCATCACAGCCAGATCAAACTCAAGAAAGCTGGCTTTAAAATGACTAATTTATGAGTAACAAGAGATCCCATTATTCTGTTGCCAGAAACTGTATTATTTTCCTTTGAAAGAAATGCTGAATTCCTCTTCTTCTCCATGTGTATCAATGAAATGATAACACTTGCCATATAACTGACCTCACAGGGAGAAGTAGGATTTCTTCTAATAGCCTTGTCTTCTTCTGTCTTCCTCTCTACTTTCTTCTAATCAGTCTTTCTCCTTCCCTCATTCATTCACTCCTGTGCACTCTTCCTTACCCCCTCAATTGCACAGGGTCAGTTAGGCACTGGCATTCTTACTGAAAACCACATCCCACCCTTTAACGTGCTAGCCATACCATGGATGGCCACATCCCACCCTCTACTTTCAAACATGTCAGTTACAGCAGTGTGCTGGTATGTTGCACAGTCAGAAGTTGCACATGTGTGGCTGGGGATAGATTTTGGCTCCATTTCTTGGCTTAAACCCTTGTTTCGTCTCTCAGGCATATAATGGAAGATAGTTTGGCTATCGTTTCCTACAATTAAAAAATCTCACAAAATGGAGCAAATGGGCAGCCTGCTGTCCCTGATTTTAGAAACTGCCTTGCACACAGGCAACTGTTCTGTCATCTGACCATTAAATATGGTCATAAAGTTTTACTGAAATTCAGTAAGGGAAATATAACTTGTCCAGAGCCACAATGAGTCCATGAGCATATACGAAGCTGGGAAGTTTGCTATGTCCCCTAGGATCTGGTTATTAACCTTTCATCTAATAGCTTTTATTTGTGGCCCAGAGCCATATCTAAGTACCAGCTGTCCACACGCATGTTATTCCATTCTCTTTCTACTCTTTAGTTTTTAAAGAGACCATTCTCATCCTTAGCTATCAATTATTACTGCAAACCTGGGATTACAGAATGTCAGCTCTGGAAGGGCTTTCTGGGTGAATCTGATCCAGCCACCTAATTGTGCAGAGGAGTTGTGCAGAATAGAGCCCCAGAGATGACTTGGACAGAGGCACACAGAGTGTTACTGGGTACACTAGACCAAAACCCAAGTGTCCTCAGGCCAGGGGCCTTCCCATTGCTACAGCACAGGGCCTTGTCTCTAACAATAGAACACTGATTTCGTATGTAGAAACTTCTAGAAATGCTGCTATGTTTTTTGACAACATGATTTTATTCTCCTGCCCTCAGTGCCTTCTGTAAAATTAGAAGATTAAGTGACCTTTAAGACTCTTCCATTTCCAATTTCTTTTATATTTCTCTGAATATTCATTGTGGTCAGAGTCAATAAAATTCACTTTCTGTTTTATTACTATATATTCTTTTCTTAAATGAGATATGCATATTTATTAAAATGACCTCATTTTATGAAGGTCCCTTAATATGCAGTATTTCTATTCATTTATTTAACAAACACATATTGAACTTTCAAATAATAATCACTATGGAGATAGAAACATGAGCAGTAGCTTTGTCCTTAATGTCTATACACAGGTATTGAATTATAAACCTTTATTCAAATTAAAATAAAAGATTCATTGCTTCACTCTAAGCAGATTACTTTTCATAGAACAGTCTGAGCATAATGATAAGGGCCATTGATTTAACCTGTATATTGTCAATCTAGAAAGATCATTAGCTTTTATGTAATGGTACAGTATACTCTTACAAGCTTGAGATAAATTGTCCACTGTAATCTTTATAAATTTAAAACACAGCCAAGATGAAATGTCTGTTGAAAGCAGCCTAAGTTTTAAAAGTCAGAAAGCATTAGTGAATAGAATTCATGACACAGGCTGGGTGTAAAATCTGTACTTTTTAGATATAGATACAAACCATACACTAAGAAATCTCCTGTGGTTGATATCAAAGCCATTTATTGACTATTTTAACATCGAAGATCACGCAGTTTCCAAATGTCGAAATATTTGAGATGCTATCTTTCCGTTTCTGTTTATTGACTCTAAATGACTTTTGGTCTGCAGATGTATGCAAGCCAGATGCTTCTTGTGATCAAGCCAGACCACCCCCTGTGCAGTCGTACATAGATGCTGCTTTTCTTCTGGATAGCTCCCGGCATGTGGGAAGTACCGAATTTGAAGACATAAGAGGATTCCTGGGAGCACTGTTAGATCACTTTGAAATCACCCCAGAGCCTGAGACCTCTGTCATTGGAGACCGGGTGGCCCTGTTAAGCCATGCTCCTCCCAACTTCCTACCCAACACTCAGAAGAGTCCTGTTAGAATGGAGTTCAACCTTACCACCTACAACAGTAAACGCCTCATGAAGAGGCACGTGGAAGAAGAGGTTCAACAGCTAAATGGAAATGCTTTCATTGGTCATGCCTTACAGTGGACTCTGGACAATATCTTTTTAAGTGTACCCAACCTGAGAAGAAACAAAGTCATATTTGTGATATCTGCTGGGGAAACCAGTTACTTGGATCAGGAAACCTTAAAGAAAGAATCTTTGAGAGCCAAATGTCAAGGTTATGCACTATTTGTGTTTTCCCTTGGCCCTGCCTGGAATGATGAGGAACTGGAAGATCTAGCCAGCCACCCTTTGGATCACCACATGGTCCAGCTTGGCCGAATTCATAAACCTGACCACAGATATGGTGTGAAGTTTGCAAAGTCCTTTATAAACTCGATCAGGCGTAAGTCATAAAATCTTCCTTGCATGTTTAGAGCATACTTAGTATTCCCATAAGAAGCGTTGAAAAGCTGACATGGACTTTTGGAAGTCTCTTGTGTGTCTTCAAGGGCAATGCAGGGACAGAAAGGAAAATATGTAATGATGAATGGTGGAGGGAGGAAACCACTGATTCCTAAGCATTTAATTTTCTGGCTCATCTTTTTTATGCCTCTTGTTCCTATGGAGAAGCAATCAGAACAAGCAGCTGCTCACACATCTGTCTTCATGGAGCAGTATAGTCTGGGGGTGTAAAGTCTCAGCCTAGATTTTAGTTAAAAAGTAGAAATCCTTGCCATGTAATATTATCATGCTGCCCTTTGATGGAAAGTTTTATCAGTTAATATACCAAAAGGAAGGGCCAAAGAAAAATTCAACAATTTCTGGCTTTGCTTTTACAAGTTCCAAAAGCAGAGTTTGAAGTGTTAGGAGATACCATATTACTTGTAAGCATGAAGTTTTACATGCTTGTAAAACTTTCTCAGCCTTGTTAATGACATTTCATGATGCCAGTAAGTGTACCTGGTGTTGATTTAAAAAAATGCCTTTATTTTTTGGAGTAAGCTTGCCTTGAAAGTATGTAATTCATTTCGAATGCAACAGGACACATAAAAAAAAAAAAAAAAAAAGCCTCATCCTTATATAACTCTGGAGGTTGAAAATCACTTGGTTGAATTTCTGAATGTTTTCATGGTGAATGAACCCTTGAAGTTCAGATAAAGAAAAATCAACACACAGGCTAATGATCACCCAGGATAGCTGGAAGATTCTGATTATGTCCCAACTTGTCACCGACATTACACAGTGAGAGCAGTTCAAGCTGCAAAGACACTGACTAGTCAGTGCAGGTGAGGTCTGAAGAGCCGTAGGAAATTGTTGATGGACTCTGTGACTCTAAGTGTAAGTCTAGGACCAAAAGTATTGACATCGCCTGGGAGCTTGTGAAAAATGTGGTACCTCAGGCCCCGTCTCAGACATTCTGAACAGAATCTGCATTTTCTCAAGATCCTCAGGTGATTCACGTGCACATCTGGTTTGAGAAACACTTATATAGAACCACTAAGCTCCCAGAATGAAATTTTTGTGGATGCATTCTGGAATATGAACCAGAAAGAGGAGCTAGAAAAAAAAGAAGAAGAAAATGGAGGTTGGGAGTCATTCTTAAGGAAGTAATCACAGGCATTAGTGAGGGCAAAAGAAAAGAACGCCTTGAAAGACTCTGAGACGCTTGTAAAGAAACACTCCTTAGGCAAAAATTTGAAAGGAAGTTTAAGGTAGAATTTCTTTCCCCAGTCCCCCGAGATCCTTAGTAGTGTTTCATGATAATTAGCCACACTACAGGAATACCTCAGAGTGATTGCGAGTTTGGTTTCAGACTACTGCAGTAAAGCAAGGATCACAACGAAGTGAGTTGTAATCATTTTGCTGGTGGAAGTTCTTGCCTTCAATTTATAAAAAACGCAACACGTGTGAAGCCAAATAAAGCAAGGTGCAATAAAATGAAGTATGTGTGTATACAATTAGATAAATGACAGTATCTCCCAGGGAAAGGGAAGATATGTTTTAAGAAGAATTACTTGGGGTAGGTGAGAGAGACAGGAAGTGCTTTTTGGAAAACTATAATCATGACACAGTTATATACCACTTTTCTAGAAATTATCTGGAAATCTCCAGTCTTTATAGCTGTAAAATTATGCAAAGTTCAAAAAGGCTTTGGAAAAGTCATATTTGAGCCTGAATCCTTAATTCTGTAGCAGGCCTACAGACTCACAGTCATCCATTCAACCCTAACACATGTTTATTAGGTGTGAGCCACTCACTGTTCAGTGTGGAGTGTCAAGGAGTGACCAGAACAGACATAGTTCCTGCCCTCCTGGGGGTTCTAGTCCAGCTCCCTCTCTAAGTCACTGAGACTCTTACTTAACACACTGTTGTGATAGAGTTGGCTATCAAGCACAATTCACATCAGAATCAACACATTTTCTAAGAGAAAACTGCTAGTCAACAACCCAATGCTTAAAGACAGATAAAAAATTAAAAGTCATATGCACAATAAGGAAAACATCATAATCTTGGGCCATTCAATCTAGAAGCACACAGCCAACCTATAACAGCTGCTCTGGAGACAGTGTTGAGTCACAGTCCAGGAGAAACTTGCTGCTTATGATGACCCTGGATCACCAGGAAGAGATTTAATTGTGTTTAACAAGTCTATTCAATTTAATGCTTCAAGGGAATAATGCATTTTTAAAAGTTTCCCATCTAAAAGTGGCTTTGAAATGTTTAAATGGAGTGAGAAGAAGCATGTTTTATTATTATGAAAAATTAATATATTTCCAAATGAAATGAGCCACAAATGAATTAAACCCAAGATGGTGCTATTGTTCCTGTTGTTGTTAATGATACAGAGACCATAAAGGGAATATCCTTTTCCCTTTGCATTTTGATATTTCAAAGGCGCAAATAAAAACTATTCTGATTAGTTCATATCAATTAGAGGCCAGACTCCTGGGATTGGCTCACAATATCTCCTCTAATGTTTGACCGACTTTAGCAGCTAAAGGCATCTTAACTGAAAAGTAAGTTGAATTCTCCACCTATAAATTCAGCAGAGATGTATTTTTTAAACCCAGTTTTAGAGACTCCCCAGAGAAATCTGCTCTCATTTCATAGGGTCACCTTAGTTGGTATCTTCCTTTGATGGATGTTGGAAAAAGTGAAGTGACACTTTGCATATAGAGCAGATTGCTGTAATGTTAATAGCCATGAATAAGAGACTCATCACAAATTTTTCTCTTCCTAGGTGCCATCAACAAATATCCATCAGTAAACTTCAAAACAAAGTGCAATAGACTCAACTCCGCAAATCCGAAGAAGCAGTTGCAAAGGTATTATCTGTTTGGTATTACTTGATAAATAAATGCAACGCCCCCTCCCTTCCTTCTCTTCTGTCTCTGTTTCTTCTCCCTCCCTTTTTCCCCTCTTCCTCTTCCTCCATCCTAATATGAAAATATAATTTGAGAAAACAAGAGCTAATCAAAGGTAACTAGGTTGATTTGATAAACAACCAAATAGAGATTTTTTTTAAGTTGAAAATGTAATTGTTGAAATAAAACAACCAATGGGACTCCCCAGTGACAATGAGCATACCTGATGACCAGATCTTGGTTTCTAAATGTCATGCCCCACTAAAAGGAACCAGGATTTCTTGGGGAGGGGGCGGGGCGGAGCTAATTCTAGGCTGTAGTGGGGCAAGTACACTGTGAACCTGGAACATTTGTTGTGATAGAAAACAAGAATGTAGTCAAAACCAATAGGGTCATAGCAAAAGGACAAAGGAGCTATCTCAAAAGGATTCCCACTGGCCCAGTTCTGGACAATTCGGACATCAGAAAGAATGATGATGGATTAAAATATATTGATTTTTAAAAATCCATAAGTCTATAGAGAAACCCAAAAAATGAGGGGGAGGAAAAGCTCTTTTTTATAGAAGTATGCTAGATAATAGATGTAGGAGAAATAGTAGAATTAGAAAATCACCAATTTATAATCCCAAATGTAATAACTGAGTCATCGAGGATCATGGAATGCTAAAACCATTGGGTGACAGGTTGTTGGGGAGCAGACTAGTGACATGGTCTCATAGAACTACTCACATATTACTTATTAATTACAAAGAGGGAAGTGTGCTTTTACATGATGAGATCTGGCAGTAAGATCAGACAGTACCCACTTTAACCAAGATCTGATGCATGATACATGCATCATGAGCTGATGCATAGCAAGATACAGCATCACCTATGTGAGATTCTCCCTGGAAATGTTTGACCCAAGTCTAATAATGAGGAAACCACTGGACAATTCCAGAATGTGAAAAATTCTTCAGAACAAATGGCCTATATTCATCATGGGCTTCAATATCATGAACAGCAGAGGGATGTGGGGTACTGTCCTAGAATGGGAGAGACTAAAGAGACATAGTAATCAAATGTAGTAATGTGAATTTTGATTGGATCCTAGATCAGAAAACAATAGCTTATACACATGACAGGGAACAGATGGAGAAATTTGAGTATAAACAATATGCTGGATGATATTGATTCATGTAGATTTCCTTATTGTGCTAACAGCATCATGTTAGTATATGAATATCTTTGCTCAAGAGAGGTATGCTAAAGTACTTAAGAGTAATATGCATGAGGGCTGCAGTCTACTGTCGGGCAGCTTTCCTAAGGGGAAGATGGATGATATGTGTGTGTGTGTGTCTGTGTGTGTGTGTAAATACATACATACATATATGTGTGAATATGTGTGTGTATATATAGATGTATGTGTGTATGTACACACGCACAGAGTAGCAAGATGGTAACAACTGGAGAATCATCTAGGTCAGTGGTCCTTTTTGGCACCAGCGACCAGTGCTCCTATGAGAATCTAATGCCTGATAATCTGAGGTGAAGCTGAGGTGGTGATGCTAGCACAGGGGAGCAGCTGCAAATACAGATGAAGCTTCACTCACTCGCCCACCTACCACTTACCTCTCTGGCTGTGTGGCACGGTTCCTAACAGGCCATGGACCAGTACTGATCCATAGCCCGGGGGTTGGGGACCCCTGATCTAGGCAAAAGGTATTCAGGTATTTATTCATGATTCTGTTCTTTGCAATATTTCATGATCTTGACAATTTTAAAAATAAAAAATTATTTGTAAAACTAAATGGATGGCTTAAACAGAGTAATAGACACATCTAAAGAAAAACATAATGAACTGGAAAATAAAGCTGAAGAAATTATTCAGAATGCAGAGAATATAAATATAAGAAGTTTAGAGACAGTACAGAATGGAAAGACCTAAGCTATATAATTGGATTCTAGAAAGATAAAATAGAAACAATAGATGAGAGACAATATTCAAAGACATAAAGAGATGATCATTTTCAAGAACTTATGAAAGACATGAAGAAAAGACAAGATATAACAAGTAGGATAAATAAAAAGAAAACAGACATGGAGTCGAGGAATACAGAACACCAAGACCAAGAAAACTGAAAAGAAGCCAGAAAGATGACCTACAAAGAAACTAGAATTAGGCTGGCAGCTGAATTGTCAGTAGCAATAGCAGAAGTCACAAAACATTGAGAACTTTTAAAGTAGTGAAAGAAAATTTTCGTCAACTTAGAAAAACTATCTTTCGAAAATAATGGTGAACCAAAGACAATTTGGATAAACGAAAAACAATAGCTCACCACAAAAAGGCCTTTGCTAAAGGAACTTCTAAAGTATGTGCTTCAAGGGAAATAAAATGACCACAGAAGGAAAGGCTAAGATACACAATAGTGAATGATAAAAATGTGTCAATATTTAAGTGAATCTAAATAAATGTATCTTTAAATAATAGTAATATCTAATTGTAGGGTTACGAAAAAGCTATACTTGGTAACAAAGCTATAAAAATAAAACACTTGGTACCGGATGATTTTAACAGAAAAAAACTGTTAATTACTTAAACTTGAGAAAAGACATTAAACAACAAAATCATCATTTCTTATTAAAAAGCAATAAACAAATAACATTATTTCATAAAAAGGCAAGAAAAAAGTACAAGTAGAAGGTGAAAGGTAAGACAACAGGATCAAATACGTTTAAATATATCAGTCATCATAACAAAATATATAGATTAAACATGCCAGTTACAATCAGAGATTTTTGGAGTTAAGGAACAAAATAAAATCCAGCTAAAACTGTTTTGAAGAGACACAGTTACAAAATTAAAAATGGAAAAGCTGAAAGTGAAATGATGGAAAAAATATACCAGGCACGTATTTTAAAAAGAAAGCTGGAATAGCTATATTGATATCAGATAAAATATACTTTGAAACAAAAGGGTCACTAAATGATGACAAAGTGTTCAATCATGAAGAAGATAAAACAATTCTAAATTTATAAGAGGGTAATAAAATCTTAAAATACACAACGCGGAAATTGAAAAACGACATGGAGAAATTGCCACAGAGCTGTCATTGAAGTTAGAAATTTCAGCGTACCAGTTTGCATATTGATAGGCCAAGCAGACAAAAATTAGTAAATATGTAAAAGATTTAATCATAAGTAACAAACTTGATTTTATAAACTCATTTAGAACCCTATCCAGAAAAATGAGACATTCTTCTGAAGAACACATGGAACATTAACAGCTGTTGAATCAAGGTGGAATGTTTACAAGTGTTCATTGTGCAATTTTTAACTTCTCAAACAAATGTCAACACACCTCTGGGAACCATACAGCACCATACAGTCCAAATGATCTGATCATGATGCAATTAAGTTAGAAATTAATAAAAATATTTTTAAAATCCATACATTTAGAAATTAAAATCGCATTTCTAAATAACAAATAGGACTGAAAAATGACAATGAAACTTAAAAACACTTAGAACTGTATAATAATCAAACTTATATGTCAAAACTTATGGGATACATCAGAATTCATAATTTAGGAAAGTTGATAGTCTTAATAATTAAGGAAATTTTTTAAACATTAAAAGCTAAAGAGCTAAACATTGCTCTTAAGCTTTTATAAAAGGGTAAACAACCCAAAATATTCCCAAAGATAGGAATAAAAGTAGAACTTAATATTTTTTAATTAAGATACTTAAAAATGTATCAACAAAGGCAAAAGTTGTTTTTTTTTAAATATATATATCTTTTGCATTTCTGAATATTACTTACATTTTTAAAATTAGAAATAATAGAAATCAAGATGTTAGAAGAGTGTTTCTTTGTTTCAGTGGTAAATGCTGTGCTAACACACACACATCTGCCCCACATCCGACTGATATCAAATGTGCACCAGCTCCTGGGAGGCAAATGCCTTCAACAGCCTGCCTACTGTTATTGTGCAGTATGCATTTCTGTGTGGTGATCAGGACCAGAGAGGCACTCCTAATCCTGAAGCCCCAGCTCCAGAAGCTCTAGAAGCCTCTGCCTGGAAAAGCTCTCCTCAACCTGCTGAGAGTCGGGAACTGTCCAGCAGCAAATGTCTCCTGAAGTCAGGCCTAAACAGGCCTGCGCAGTCAGTCCGCCGAGAACAGGGCTCCCCCTGCTGCAGGTGTCTGGAAGTGTGGAAAGGGGCTT